TGAGAGATCCGAGCCTTGCCTACGACCGCATAAACTTACTACACCTACTACACGGGAATTACCCCTATCAATTATTATTATTATTATGTATACCCTTAGCTCATTTTAAATGTTAATCTACACAACTAATTTTTTCAAATATTTTTTTTTACCAACCGTTGATATAATTCGATGGTCAAATTCGCTAATATAATTCGCTAACACTAACCGTTAACTAGTGATTGTCAAATAAGGACATTGCGAGGTAGTTCTCATTTCATTTTGTTGTGTGATTTGAATACTCTCTTTGTCAACAAATCCCTCAAGTAGTTAATATGATTGACTTTATTAATTATATATTTTTTAATTTTTTCATGGTATTAATAAAATACTTGGTAAATAAATATATAGCATTATTTTGTATTATAACTTTGATATTTAATTAAAAAATAGTGCACAAAAAAATAATAGACAATGTAGTGAATGTAAAGAATCTTTACATTGGAGAAATATAAAGACAATATAACTAATAAAATTATTTCTCTTAATTAATTGATTGATAATGAATAATTTTTTTTAATAAAGATATTGTAGGGACAATGTAGCGAATACAATCAATTGATGAATTTGAATGTAAAGAATTTTTATATTGGAGAAAAATAAATACAATATAACTAATGAAATTATTTCTCTTATTTAATTTATTGATAATGGATAATTTTTTTTGAATAAAAACATTGTAGACACATAATTCTAAATTAAAGAAATGCATATTTATTATTTTTTGTTGTAGCTACTAAATTATTATTTAATTTAATAAGATTAAAATAGAGTACTAATTATACCGACTTTGATTGGGATGGGGTTCGAACCTAAGACCTTTCTTATTAAAATCATGAGTAAGTTAACGGTGAACTAACAGAAATTAACGGAAAAGATAATATTTAACGGAAAAGTTAACGGATAACCATATTCATTAAGGATAAATTAGGAAATCTTAAAGAAAAATTAAAATCTGATCAATCTGAGCCATTCATTTGATTAAAAAATTTGACCGCCATTTTTTCTACCCATTATAGGCTTAACTCTCTTGGGCTCTTATTAATGTACTAGTTTTTTACGTGCATTGCGCGATTGGGATAATGCCCAATGTTTTTTTTTTTTTAAATAAGTACTTTAAAGTATATTAAGGCAAGATTATATTGAAATTGTTCATGCATAGATAATTGAAGGTTGAATTTGCGTATTTAAATAGGTAATTCTTCTCCCAAAGGTTGAGTCCCCTAACCCAAGGGCCCCCACACTCTGACCCGACAGAGCATTGTAGGAAGTTGTAAATCACGGTGACTCAATGGTTCAGCAGACAGGACCAAATGCCGGTGCGAACAAGGAATCTGCCAACTTTGGACATAATTCCCGCACTGCCGCCGCCGAGGTTCAAACCTTGGTCTCTTCTCCCGAATACTGCCCACTAAACCATTGAGCTAAGCCCATGCGGGTTAAATAGGTAATTCTAAGTTTACAAATGCAAGATAATATAGTCAAGATTGATTATAATTGTCAATCAAATAATTGTATATGTATGGTTGAAACCAAATACGGGACATAAGGGAGAACAAATAAAAATTAGGGCATAAAATATTAAATATATACTAATATTGTTTGAGGAGATTTCGACATTAGGATTTGTGGTTAAGTTCAATTAAGACTTTAATATTAGAATTAAATTAATGGTGTAAATATAATTCTATATTAGACGTTAATATTAGAATTAGACTAACGGTGAATTAACGGTATTTAACGGAAAAGTTAAATGGATAATCATATAATTAAGGATAAATTAGAAAATTTTTTAAAAAAATTAAAACCTGAACAATTTGAACCATTCATTTGATTTAATATTTTGGCGGTCATTTTTTCTACCCAATGTTAATAATTAAATAAATTCGTTGGTCAAATCCGCTAATATAATCCGCTAACTGCTGATTGTCAAACAAGGACATTGCAGGGTAGTTCTGACTTCAATTTGTTGTGTGATTTGAATACTCTCTTTGTCACAAAATCTCTCAAGTAGTTAATATGGTTGGCTTTATTAATTATATATATTTTTTAATTTTTTCATGGTATTAATAAAATACTTGGTAAATAAATATATAGGATTATTTTGTATTATTACTTTGATATTTAATTAGAAAAATAGTGCACAAAAAAGATAATAGACAATGTAGTGAATATAATCAATTGATGAATTTGAATGTAAAAATTTTTACATTTGAGAAAAATAAAGACAATATAACTAATGAAAATATTTTTCTTAATTAATTTATTGATAATGAATAATATTTTTTCACTGAATTAAGACATTGTAAGGACAATGTAGCGAATATAATCAATTAATAAATTTGAATATAAAGAATTTTTATATTGTAGAAAAATAAAGACAATATAACTAATACAATTATTTCTCTTATTTAATTTATTGATAATGAATAATTTTTTTTGAATAAAGGCATTGTGGACACATAATTCTAAATTAAAGAAATGCATATCTATAATTTTTGGTTGTAGCTACTAAATTATTATTTATATAATTTAATAAGAGTAAAATAGAGTACTAATTATGCCAACTGTGATTGGGATGAGGTTCGAACCTAAGACCTTTTTTTTTTTTTTTTTTTTTTTTTTATTGAAATCAATAAGTTAACGGTGAACTAACGGCAATTCTTAAAATTTTAACGTAATTAGTAACGGTGTGTGGATATTTTAGGAAATTTTAGTGTAAAATTTAAATCTTATCAATCTTTTAATCAATCTGAGCCATTCATTTGATTAAAATCTGTGACCGCCATTTTTTCTACCCATTATAGGCCTAACTCTCTTGGGCTCTTATTAGTATAGTAGATATATGTGTGTGTGTGTGTATATATATATATATATATATATATATATATATATATATATATATATATATATATATATATATAGAGAGAGAGAGAGAGAGAGAGAAAGAGAGAGGTTCTCGTGCGGGTGAGGGCTTCAGGTGCGGTTGTGCGGTTTAATCTGAGTCATTCATCTCGCTTTAATCAACGTCCAGGATTATCAAAGTTTAAAAAAAAAAACATGGTGGCAATTTTGTAATTTTTGCATCTAGGTCAGAATTAAGGTGAGCGGATATGTGATTAATGTGCGTGAGTTTTGTGCTTAATGTGCGTGTGTTTTGTGCTTAATGTGCGTGAGGTTTGTGCTTAATGTTCGTGGGGATGTGCTTAACGTGAATAGTTGTTAAAACTTAAAGTCTGTGAGTGAATACTTAAAGTGCGTGAGTTTTGTGCTTAATGTGCGTGATGTTTGTGCTTAATGTGCGTGGGTTTTGTACTTAATGTGCGTGAGTTTTGTACTTAATGTCAGTAGTTGTTGAAACTTAAAGTCTGTGAGTTAATATTTAAAGTGCGTGGGTTTTGTGCTTAATGTGCGTGAGGTTGTGCTTAATGTGTGTGGGTTTTGTACTTAAAGTGCGTGAGTTTGTGATTCAAATCTAACACTTAAGGTGCACCTTAGCTTATACTTCTTTGTTCCAGGCACGCGTTTTTTTTTTTTTTTTTAATTTTCATTGATTTGAGCCGTTGATCTAAATTTGATCAACTGCTCAGATTTAACCGCACAACCGCACGGGAAGCTATACCCGCACCTAAACCCTTCCCTATATATATATATATATATATATATATATATATATATATATATATATATATATATATATATATATATATACACGTTATGTTATGTTGAGAAGGTTAGCAACCAAACATCCCCTTCGTTTCTTCCGTTTCTCTCTCTCGACTCAGCACATCAGCAACCACCGAGGCCTCCATGCCTCTCCTTCCGGCTTCTCCTTTTCAGCCCTAACCTCATCCCCCTCTTCGCATCTCTTTCCAGTGGAGCAGCTGAGCAAGGTCAAGGAAGCGATGGCAGAGCAGCTTCGCGGCAAGAACCTCATCTGTTCTCGGTGAAGCTTAGTGGTGGACGGTGGTGGTTGCCGTCCCCTCTCCGGCGACTTGCAACTCCCAGCAGTAGAGCAAACTCGGTAGTGGTTACGGCAGTTCCAGCCTCCTCCATCCTCCTCGGTTCCCGGCAACGACCGGCGAGATGGAGCCTCGGCGAAGCAGCGGCCGGCGGTGGACGATCTCCTCTCCGGCAGAGCAGCTTGGACGATGGGGGTTAGTGGTGTTGACGGCAACAGTGAAGCCCAGCGACTCCATTTTTTTCCTCTACCGAAGGTGGAACATGGAGATTAGGTGAGAAATGTGGTTGTTATTCTTGAAGCTTAGTATTGAAGATAATAATTAGTGGATTAATGGGTATGTTCAAGGTTAGGATGTTAGATGGCGTTGATGATGGTTAGATGTTGGCAGAACTTTGTTTTATGAGTTAATGTTAAGCTAAAGGTAATGTTATGATTAATAAGGGTGGTAATGGAGATTTGAGATGATAATGACAGGACTACTGGAAATCTGGCGTTTTCCGTCCAACAAATGTTGGACGGAAAACGCGATATATTGGTCGGAAACGACGTTTCCGTCCAACATACCGACCAAAAGGAACGTTCGAAAAAACCTCCGTGAGAAATTCCGTCCAACTACAATTTTTGGTCGGAAATAGCGTCCAACAAAAAAAAATTGGACGGAAATTCCGGAAAATAACCCACCATTTTTAAAACGTGGGAACTTCCGACCAACTTTGTGCGTTGGTCGGAAATGCCGTCCAACTACGTGCGTTGGTCGGAAATTTCGACCCAACGTTGGACAGAAAACTCACCTATTATATTTTGTTATTTTCCTTCCAACTGTTGGTAGGAAAATCCTAAATCATATGGAATATTTTTATTATTTTTATATTACCACAATTTTATTTATAACTGTTTTTTATAAATTATGTCATCAACAAATTAATGAACACACTAAATTGAAAATTGAAAATATATTTAAACATCAAAATTATTTACAACAAAAATTATGTTCATGTTCATAAAAAAAAACATAAAAAATATATACTACTTGATTGATACTCCGTACTACTTAAGTATGAAAATATACTTATTTGATACTACATAAGTATGCTCGCTGCACCCAAATAAGCCTTCAAATCCGGCACTGCTTCAATGGCTTTGATCAATGCAGCATCCACAACCTCTTCAATGAAGTTGATCAAGTGTAGACCTTCACAAAAATGGAATTAACTTGTACATTATTGTTGGCAGGAGAACAAGTCAAGGAACAGTTTCATTGTTGCAGAAGAATAAGACTTTTTTGTTACACCACAGACTTAGTAAAGTAAACATACTTGAACCTCTCCAATTCCTTCGGGTAGTATTTTCCCCATTTCAAGTGAACAAGTCAGCCAAAGTAGTGAAGTTTTGCTCTAAGTGCATCACCAATCTGCCTAACAATATCACCTCTTTTTGGTGCTGGAATCTGAAACAAAATAGAAACAATCAAGACATTTAGTTTACACTAAAGGAGTCAAGAAGAGATCAAGTACAAAATTAAGATGTTTTTCACACTGTAGGCACACAATTATGTGAGTGACAATACTTTAGGCAGGTGATTTTGACAAAAGTGAAGATAGGGTGGCAAGATTGATATCATCGTGATGAATATACCTGCATCCACAGCTTTGCTGTTTCGTTACAAGCCTGCATGCCTTCTTCATAATCTTCAATTGAAGCTTCAACAACTTCGGCTATGGTATGAGTTAATGAACACAAAAATAAAGATAAAAATAAACTATCAGAGCCGCAATCCATAAAAGGAACTTCTCCTTATTAACAAATAATTATCAACCATACTTGTCGAATCAATGAAATTCGGAACAATAAACTTCAAACAAATTAGGAACTCCAAAATTTTTCGTGTAAAAAACACTCCGAAGTTCACTCATAGAACCAAATCATTTATGCAATTTGCCGTTATTGCCAATCTCCATCAACTATTCACTCCATTTTCTCATAATCTCACTGCCTGCTTTTCAAAATCAAAACGAAGAAAACTTAACTAAATGAACTGACCTCATTGTTGGCCGGATTTACAGTGGAGACCGTAGGTCCACTAGCCTTCCACGCCCCATTGACGTAGCAGCTGAGGTTTGTAGGGCCGATTCCGATCTCCTTGAGGAACTCATGCTCACGAGTTATAAACCACATTGGCACGAGTTATAAACCACATTAATTCATGTCATCACAAAAAAAAAAACATGTATGCTTATATGAGATAGAGATTCTCAACTACCAAGAGTAATAGAGCCAACCACCCCCACAAAAAAAAATAAAAATAAATAAACACACACACCAACGATAACATTTTTTTCTTCTTACCATGCGGTTGTGAAGTCACCAAATGCCTAAGTTCTTGATTGTCTCTTCTGTTTCCAGTGGTAAAATAAAGGCTCCAGAACTTTCTCCAGATCCTGAATCTTAACCTTATATCTCTTATTAATTTATGTCAGATTCCATTGAAGACATTGACATGTGTATAATCAATACGCAATAGCATGTTAAAGGTGACTAAGCAAAGGGCCAGCATGCAGTGCAATATTCCACCCATCTTTATGGATGATACAAATAAACAAATAGAAATGTATTGTAAGTAAACCAAATGCAATACTCAAAGAACCAAAACTGGAATAATCCCAAATAGAAATATGCAACGGTAAAGATAATTTGAATTTATTGGCAATATATCACACAACAAGTTTAACCACCCTACTAATGGTAAATAACTATGTGTTTACATCATTACCAAAAATGTACCTTAAACTCAAGCTCAATTAAACCCGTGCTATGTTCAGCATAACATCTTCGATTTGCACACCAGAATCTCTGAACCTTCAGTTCTGTAACCTGTTTACTTAAGTTAGTAATGCTGCTATATATATATTAAAACTTATTTCGTTCAGAAATAATATGTATGCACGTGCAAATGAAAGTATCACTTTGCTAGTAGGAGATCCATGAATCCTATGCATTTGCTATCCAATTAATTTCTTTTAGTGTTCTGAAGCCAAGCAATAGTGAATAGCTTTGTTCTAGTGGAATGCATTAAAACTGCAAATGCACACATGTATATATACTAATGTACACAGCTTACATTTCAATAATCAAAATATTTATCAACAAATGCTATATGCACATCTTGTAGAAAATGTTATTGATGCAACTTAAGATACACTATAAGCATATATTGACATCCTCAAGAATAAATATTTATATCAACAAATCAATATGATATATGTATTAAATACACATTTATTTCAAACAAGAGGACATAAACATTTGTGTATACATTTAAATTACTATGTAAATTGCTCCTTATGAAAAAGTTAGCAAAGCCTCACCAGAATGACCAGATAAGAAGAAAAGATGTTCACATACATATTGTTTTTCAAGTTCTTTGTTTCTTAGCTCAACCTTGACTGTATACAATATACTGTGTATACATATCTAAAAAGTCATCTCTAGTTTTCAAGAAAAGAGCAGTTTTGAAAGAAAGGAAATTTGAAATTGATGGCATCCTTAAACTTTATATCTTCATACATTTATAGCAAAATGAGAGCATAACAAAATGCTTCCCCCTACAAAAACACACATAAATTTACCTGTGCATGAACAAATCCACACAAAGCAGAAGTAGTGTATTTTCCATCATCTGACGATCGTAGATGGAAGTCTCCTACTCTGTCAACTCCCCTCGCTCCATATTCCCGAACAAAACAGCCTATAACTCAAAATGGAACTCCATTTTTTCATTTCCATAGTTTACAAATAGTCTCGGAAAATATAAAGCACCAGAAAAAAATTTGAAAGCAGTATGCATAATTCGTAGTTCGTAGGAAAAGGGGGCCGAATTGAGACTGAAAATTGAATAAGGTAGTTTTCAATCCGACGACTTACTGTAAGAATCAAGAGTTTAGAGGTAGTGTGAACCGTCTTCTTCCTTGGCTCCTTGCTCGACAAGTGGACAGTTGCCCTCTATCCATATAAAAATAAACTTACCGGTTATTTTTGGAATCGGCAGCTACGGGGTGGTGGCGGTGGCGAGTGAGGCAGCTCCGACGAAGGAAGGGCGGCGACGAGTGTGGCTGAGGCTTTGGCGGTGGCTGTCGGTTGTCATAGTCGGAGAAGGAAGAGCGGCGGCGGAAATGACGGTCTGTTCTGGTTCTCGTCGTCGGAGATGAGAGGGCGAGAGAGGGCAGCGAACGGAGAGGTCGAGAGAGTGTGAAAGCTTAAGCCAAGCTTCGCAAGAGAGAGCAGATCTGTTCTTTTGACTATTAGAGAGAAGAGAAGCGTGAATATTAGAGAGAAGAGAGGCGTGAAGTAACTAATAAGTTTTTAATATAAAAAGATTTTTTTTTTTAATTCAAACATTCCAATCAAGTGAATTAAAAATATTTAAATTTCCGTCCAATATTATGTTGGACGGATATTAAAATACCTACTATTTTAATTTCTACCTATCAGTCAATTCGACTTTACCAACCAACACTATAGGTTGGTCGGAATTTCCGTCCAACGCGCGAGTGTTGGACGGAATTTCCGTTCAACACTCGCGCGTTGGACGGAAATTCCGACCAACTTTCCGTCCACCCATCTTTAGTAACAAAAAGTTGAAATATTTAGTAAAATACCGACCAATTTACGGTTGGACGGAAATGTTGGACGGAAAACGCGAGATTTCCAGCAGTGAGTCATTATGGACTAATGATGGTGCTGAGTTCATCTCCAACCCATTACACCAAATTCTACATCAAATTTTACACCAAAAGAAATATTCTCAGAATATTCTTACACCAAATTTTATTCATCTCCAACCCATTACACCAAATTTATTTCTACACAAAAATAATTTGTTTTCTCATAAATTATAACTTTTATTTTTTACGTCAATTTTTTAATATGAAATTTAATTGTAATGCAAATAATATTTTTATTCCACCAATAATATAACATATAACAACTATTACATTTAATTTTCGGAATTACCATATAGTTGCCACAAATGCTCAATCAATGCATTACGAAGTGCATAATGCGCTTCTCTATCTTTTATTTGTCTATGTCGAGCAAGAAATTCTTAAAATAGAGTAGCTTCATCTCTACGTATATCAACTTCAATAGCCGGCGCTTCTCTCCACCTTTGTATATCCGCTTGCTCATCACATTCATCTTCAATTATCATATTGTGCATTATGATGCAAGATGTCATTATATCATGTAATACACGTTTATCCCAAAAAAAAGCCGGTCCCTTGACTATTGCAAATCGTGACTGGAGGACCCCAAATGCGCTTTCGACATCTTTTCTACATGCTTCTTGCATCGTTGCAAATAACTTTTTCTTTAGCCCTCGAGGTTCATGAATGGTTTGTACCAAGGTTGACCATTTTGGGTATATACCATCAGCTAAATAATATCCCGTATGGTACTGTTCTCCTTGAATAACATAATGAGCTGGGGGTGCTATACCATTTGCAAGGTTTGCAAACAAATGAGACGCCTCCAACACATTAATGTCATTATTTGACTCTGGCAAACAAAAATGTGCATGCCATATCCACAAATCATAATCAGCTACAACCTCAAGAATAATAGTTGGTTCTCGACTACGCCCATAATATTGTCCTGCCCAAGCTGTTGGACAATTTTTGCAAGTCCAGTGCATACAATCTAAACTCCCAAGAATCTCTGGAAAACCACGACTCTCGCCAATTTGAAGCAACCTTGCAACGTCATTAGCATCAGGTGCTCTTAGATAGAGCTCCCCGAACACCTCTACAATTGCTCGGCAGAATCTCTTCACACTTTCAATTGCAGTTGATTCTCCAATTTGAATGTATTCATTTGTTGCATCCGCTGGTACTCCATAAGCCAAAATTTGAAAGGTTGCTGTTACTTTTTGTAAAGTAGACAAGCCTAGCCTTCCAATTCTATCTCTCCGTTGCAAAAAGTAGTTGTCATGATCTTCAACGGCGTTGGCAATGCGTAAAAACAAATTTCGACTCATTCGAAATTGTCTACGAAACATTGTTTCATTATATTTTGGATTTTCTGAAAAATAATCAGCCCATAACCTTCTATCACCATCTACACGATCACGATGAATCACTCTATGGCTAGGAACCGAACCACCGTGCCTTGAGTTGCTAGCTTGATTAGCCATAGTTTCCATATAGTAAGTCATGACAGCGTTGTTGTTAGCATATACATTTAGTAATGCTTGCTCTTGTGATTGTATTAGAGTATTGAGATCAAGATCATCCTCTGATTGTTGGGATAAGGGTGAGGGTGAAGGTGAAGGTGAGGATGAAGATGAAGATGAACAAGAAAATGGTATAGTGCGTTTACCATTGTTGGAATTCATAATTGAATATTGATATGATGAAGAGATGAATGATAACTTTGTATGTGATGTACTAGTATTTATAATAAGATCTGAAATCTTATCACAAACTTTATCAGAAGTGTTTTCAACCGTTGGATTAAATCTCAACAATCTTAACCATTCATTGGTATGCAAATCTTTCCAACGCGGAATCCAACAAAAGATATGAAATCTTATCACAAACCTTATCAGAAGTGTTTTAAACCGTTTGGATTAAATCTCAATAATCTTAACCATTCATTGGTATGCAAATCTTTCCAACACGGAATCCAACAAAAGATATGAAATCTTATCACAACCTTTATCAGAAGTGTTTTCAACCGTTGGATTAAATCTCAACAATCTTAACCATTCATTGGTTTGCAAATCTTTCCAACACGGAATCCAACAAAAGATATGAAATCTTATCACAACCTTTATCAGAAGTGTTTTAAATTGTTGGATTAAATCTCAACAATCTTAACCATTCATTGGTATGCAAATCTTTCCAACACGGAATCCAACAAAAGATATGAAATCTTATCACAACCTTTATCAGAAGTGTTTTCAACCGTTGGATTTAATCTCAACAATCTTAACCATTCATTGGTATGCAAATCTTTCCAACACGGAATCCAACAAAAGATATGAAATCTTATCACAACCTTTATCAGAAGTGTTTTAAACCGTTGGATTAAATCTCAACAATCTTAACCATTCATTGGTATGCAAATCTTTCCAACATGGAATCCAACAAAAGATATGACATCTTATCACAACCTTTATCAGAAGTGTTTTCAACTATAAATACTACACATGGATTGCCAAAGTAAAACCACCACTCTCTGGATTCTTAAACCTCCTCTCAAACACTCGTCCATTCTCTTTGCAAAATGTCGAGCTCACGCATAACCCGAACTGCTTCATATTCAATCGAGGATGATCAATTTCTATGTCGTGTGTATTTTGATATTAGCCAAGATCCTAAAGTTGGTAAGAATCAGGCACAACAAGCTTCTTGGACTCGTATTGGGATTGAGTACCATCAAATGCTACCAGCGAATAATGGTAATATTCAATCTTGGCGATCTCTTCAAACTCGGATGCAAAATATATTGACAGCTGTTTCAAAATTAAGAGATGCATCCGCCAAATTTAAAACATGAACCCAAGCGGAGCATCTGAAAAAGACATTGTGAGTACTTTATAAATGTTTTATTAGTCATTTGCTTAAATTGTGAGTACTTTACACATATTTGTTATTTACTTGCTTATATTTATGATTTATAACAGCTAGATAGAGCAAAAGGTTTAATGTCACAAGATGCCAAATATCCAAAGGGGTTTAGATTTGATCACGTATGGCCTATCCTTAAGGATCTTGAGAAATTTAGCTCTACTCCTAGTAGAGACGCAAGTTTTGGTAGCCGAAAGCGAAATACCGAATTTCAAGGATCACAATCACTGCATGATATAGCAGATAAGTCAATAGGCTCATCATCTTTTTATGTTGATTTGAATGACGATTTTGAAAGTTCAGACCAGGTTAACGAAAAAAACAATGCAAGCGAGCGTCCTACGGGAAGGAACAAGGAGAAAAAGAAGAAACAATTGAATGAAGAAAATAAGGAATTTTTAAAATCCATTCAGACAGAAAATGAACAAATCAAAAAAATGTTCCAACATCATCAAGATATACTTGAAAAAATTTATGAGGTTCAGTTGTTAAAAGCTCAGACTGAAATAGGGATACAAAAGGAATTAATAAAAAAAACAGGGTCAAAATTGGAATTAAAAACTTTACACCATTTTGGCGCAAATGCTACAGTGCAGCGCCAAATATGGCGCTACACTGTAGCAAATCGCCAAAATAGCGCCTAATTTGGCTCTACATTGGAGGAGATTCAGCGCCAAACTAGGCACTAAAATGGCGTTTGGTGGAGATATACCGTCTCCTTGGAGACGACCTGAATGTTGTTGAAAATGATTTAATATGATTAAGGCTTAACACTAGTACAAAAAACATCAATAAAATCGAATAATTCGCGTCCAAAGTTTGAACTTTGGACGCCTAATTATAAAGTGTAGTGCAGTGGCATTTTTGTAATTAAAATGCCACTATATAATTTGTTTTTTTTTTGGAAATTAAAAAGAATAGGCGTCTATAACTTTGGACGCCTATTGTCGCGTGTTGTTTTTAAAATAATAATCTACGTCCAAAGTTGTATCACTTTGGACGCGTTCATGCTTTTTTAAAAAAAATAAATTAAATTAAATATTAAAAAGTAACGAGTTTCTCACGCCTCGCTGCCCTCGCACATTCAAGAAACCCTAAATCCCTTATCTCACTCCCTCCGCCACGGGTCTCCAGCCCAACTGCCGCCGCACCAGTCCTCCAGGGTTGTATTTATGTTTTTGTTTAGTTCTCTAAGTAGTAGTGTTTTCGTTTGTGTGTTCAGGAATCTTGCATATAATAATTTAAGTGGAAGTCTTCCTTATTCCATCAATGACATGATTTTGATTAATTATCTGTGAGTAGCTTCACTTGTCTGCTTAATTTCATTGCTTTCTTTAGTGTATGTGTGCAATTGTAAGATTTAGAATTATGTTCTATTCTACATACTCTGACCATATTGAAGTGCCTAACCTTAAGAAAATCGTGATTTAGGAACCTTAGCAGCAACTCGCTCTATCAATCGATTGGAGATGTGTTTACCAACCATTCTGACCTCAAACCTTGTAAGTCATCTCAACTAGTGTTCTTGATATGATCTTTCGGATCTGTTTTTGAATCTTAAGCACTAATATTCAATTCTCATCTACTACAAGGATCTTTCTTTTTTTCAACAATCTGACTTTGTGATATGTTTTTGAAATGCAATAGGCTTCAGAAA